GGAGCGACTACATGGGAAAGCAGGCAATAACCCGTTTGCTGCCAGTAACATAGGGACCCCATCACGCTTGTTGGCAAAGCAAATTGCCTCAGAGCTCTTTAAATCAAGCAGAAATATACAGTAACGTTCTGTAGTGCAAGATGCATCATCATCAAACGTCCACTCTGATCACCACATTGTATGATCACTTTGTAGATTTAATCTACAATTAATTAATTAGTGTAATCTCTTTAAATTTAGTTTCATGCGTATTTGCATGTATATTTCATTTTCAAGAGCTATGAGATAAATAAAACAAAAAACATCGGCATGGAATCCAAAAACACAGCTACTGTATGCACTTCGAACATAAAATCAAAACATATTTCCTAAAACAGATGGAAGCTTTGAGTAAGGGTGAATTTGAACCAACTCCCTGGCCCCATCAGCATTTCCATTCTGGATTTTTATTTTAGTGGAAGCACCCAGACAGAACCCTCCAACAGAAAAGGGTGAAGCCAGACTTCCTTCTGCAAGAAAAATCACAATATAGCGAAATAATCCAGAATTAAACTCCCTACCATTAACATTTTCACATTCATAAATACTCATTACTGTCGTAAAGAGCTTTTTATTTTTGTCCTCTGCACCGATTGTTTTATTATCGTAATCCAAGCGAAAACTAAATATTCTTTATATACAGTCTTGCCTTGCATAATTTGTTGCCCCCTCCATTGATGCCCCATTTTGCAGTACTACAGTCTGGAATTAAAATAGATATTGGCATTTTTTTTTAGCATGGATATATTTTTGGCTTGATTTGGTCCCTTATTGGTCTTCATGACGTTGTTTACTTAAACAGATTTCAGTGGTTTATAGGTGTGAGAGGGAATACTCGCAACCATCAAATGTCTGTTTTGTTTTTAATATAAATTTTGTGCTGTAATAATAATCATATTTTACAGCTTAAAGCATGTTGCATAAATCAAATGGAAAAACTCCTAAAATATATATTTTTTTAAAATAAATTTTAATTCCAGGTTTGTATCACTAAAAATGTGGAAGCACCAAATAGATTGAGATTTTGTATATTGCCATTTCCCTTTGCTACAGGATTTCTAAAACATACAGTTCTGCCATGTATAATGTTTTTATAGATTAATGTCATTGTGGGAGGCAGCACATTTTCCCAGCATTTTTATGGACGTTCCAATATATTTTAACTTACCTACATTGGAAGTTGTCGTTCTTCTAGTACCTAAAGCTAAAGTTGTGAAAAAAGATCTAACCTTTTTTTAAATTTAAGCCTTTATTTTTTAATTTATGAATGAAATATGGGGTGAGGTATAGAAAAAGGAAGGGACATTTGGTAATACCTAGAAAAATACAGATGCTTTGAAAGTACATTATGCTATATTTTATTAGCACCCAGTGCAAAATTAAATTAAATCAGATTTTCAGAACTGCATTGGAGGAAAAATCAAACAAAATAAAACCCACTAAATCTGTTTCCCCTAGCACACCTAGGAGTGTTATGGCCATCTCTAACAGCTACACCATTTATTAAAAACATTTCACAGCCTTAACAAAAATCTTAAACTGACCAACCTGGAATCCCAAAATTTAAAAAAGTAGAAAATGTATTATTAAAATATTGTAAAAAAACAAAACAAAACCAATACAACCCCTCCCCCCGTATTCTGGGTTGTTAAAAAAACAAAACATATATATATAAATGCAACACAGAAAAATGTTTATGCTTTATGCTTTATTTAAAAAGCTAAATGAAATCAACCTTTGTTATTTTGAGACCTACTTATTTACAATAGAAAGATTTAAATAATTAAATTTACTTGGAAATAATAGATAATTGAATTTAGCCATCTCACAGCGTGCGTTTGATTGGATACACCATATTACAATAGTGATTAGTGGCTAGTGATATTTTCTAACATAAATTTCAATCTCACAGTATGCCACAGCAACTTATACTATACCCTATGTGGCCAACACATAACTATAGGTCTGTACCTACAGATGAATATATAGTATAACAGTTGCCAAATTGTAGCTGTTATTTTAATGCTAAAATTACAGTTCCAAACATATTATTTTTACCTATGTAGTGCGATTTTAATTTTTTTAAATATATATATATATTTAAATTTTATCACATATGAGAGATCGCTTAAGATGGCAGCTAGGATTAATACAAACATTCAATGAGTTGTTTCTGGGGAACAAAAACAACAATTAGCCTTGCTTGGAGCCCTTGATAGCTCACCGGGGAGACAAAGTAAAAAGAGCAGTTTAATTGTTCATCCATGTGTCCGGTTCATTTTATTTCCCCCCCTAAGGCCTGAATCGCTTCACCAGATATCTCTCTTAATAGATTTGTGTCAATACCACTAATTTTATACCTGTTTAAAAACTAAAAATTTAGAGGGTTACTCCAACCAAAAAAATGTTCTTGGGTAAATTAAACCTTATTTTGCCCCCACTCCCAACCACCAAATGTAACTAAAGCTAAAATTTACCTCCTTTTCAGAGCCAAGGCAGAGTTTTCCCTAAGTCAATCCTCCTCTGCTGACATCATTCCCCCTCGCTGGAAGAGGAGGGATTTCAGGGAGGAAATGGCATCAGACATCCAATATGCACACAATTAACGTTAGCCATCCAGAATTCTTGTTCTATTTTGACTAAAAATGCACCAATAATGCTGCTGGAGGTGGAGTTATACCTCTGGCAGAAAAGGAGTTAAATGCTATATGAGATGCATTTTATAGCAACACTCAGCACATAGGATTACAGGTCACTTAGGTAGTCATTTTAATTTGAGTAACCCTATCATAAATTAAGTTCTCTCTACATAACAATAACCCAAACATAAAGCAGAACAATAATCCCCTTCTCAGACTGAGTATTTCATGAAGATAAAATCTTTATAAAACACTCAATAGATATATTAACAAAAAATAGGGACTACCTTGGTGTTTTTTTTCTATGCTTGAAGAAAGGTGGAGCTACCTTGTAGGGAAAAAGGCGCTGTCTCGCGGGATCACCTCAGTGTTGTACTCCCATGCATGTGAGAACTGTACCGATGGCAACTCGTAGCATCTGTAGGACCGGACAGAATGACCATGACAGCGGCCACAAGGGACGGGTTCAGGTAAGTATAACTCACCTTCTCCTCCACTCTACGACCACCGGACACTCGGCAGAGCAGACACTGTCAGGGGTCTTTGCAAATTATACAAAGAACCCAGGTGGTGACAGTCGCTTTAATTGTACTATAAAGAAAATGTAAAATCACTTAATTTCAGCTTTGTAACGTCTTCTTACATTTGGAGAGATTTCATGATCTATGACCACATCCAAAAAAACATTACATTTAAAATGTTGCAAATAGTGGAGTGGTAATAATGCTTGTCAAGTTTAAATACAGAAATTACGCTTTTAGTTCAGTCTGCACGTAAAGCCTTTTATTGAAATGTGGTTGCAGTGTGACTAAGTCTGTACAGGTTCAAGTTGTTAATATCTACTCTCTAGGAATATGAATGCTGTTGATTTGGACAGAAACAGGAAAACAGATGCATTTTATACAGGGCTCAAAATCTTAATTCCCGACGATCCACTGGTTTAGTGAAAATTCTGGCCTGGTGAGTGTGCCACAGGCCATCTAGGGTTGCAGTGGCGAGTAACTTTTGTGTCTGCCTAGAGACGTCCTGTCCTATACATCTGTTAATGCTAATTAACTATTAAATGATTTTACAGAGAATGCAGTTATTACTTTACGACTGTAAGATATTATACAAAATACAGATTAAGGAACAGCGCACACAAAAATTCAGTTTTATACTTTACAAGGCTACTTAATAGCCCCTTATCTCAGTAAGATATTATAGGCTGTGTTTTGCTTTCCTTCTCTTTACAGCTATTTCACATAGAGCTCCATCTTTGCTGATTTTACTTTCATACGACGTGGTGTAATAGACACCAAAATGTGTATGTGCCACTATACAGGGTCTGGCTATGTAGGGGTCTGCAGCGGTTTATAAACTATATTTACAGTGATCCTTTGCAGCTAGAGAGCTGCACATTTGCTGCCTCTCTAAAGTAACAGGTTATGATGTTCAGATAATCTATAAAGAACAGGATTTCTTTATATGTTTCCTGCTTTGATCATTACAGCAAATCAGGGGCGGACTGACCACTCGGGCATATCGGTCATGGACCGAGGGCCCGAGGCAGTCAGGGGCCCGGCCGCACAGCCATGCTCCAGCTGGAGAGATCAGATCAGAGATCTCTCCAACTGGAACGGCAAATTAAATTTTTAATTGATAGGTTGTGGGGCCCCTGATGCAGCCCGGGGCCCCACAACCTACCGCTCTGCAAGTCACCCCCTGAGACCTGGCAGCTTCACCAGCTCTCTGCCAGGTCTCCTTCTCCCAGTCCCGCGGTGCTCTGAGTGATGGGAGAGGCGCCAGGAAGTGACATCACTTCCTGTTTACTCCTCTCACACAGAGCCGATCAGCCAGCAGGGGAGAGAAGAGGAGCAGCAGCCAGGGAGACCAGAGGAAGCAGAGAGACAGGTAGGCACCAATCACCCCCTCACTGTCACTAGTTACCCCCCCACTGTCACTAGTCACCCCCCCTCACTGTCACACAACCCCCCCACTGTCACCCAATCACCCCCACTGTCACTGTCACTAATCACCTCCCACTGTCACTAGTCACCCCCACTGTCACTAATCACCCCCACTGTCCCACCTCTCACTGTCACTAATCACCCCACTGTCCCACCCTCACTGTCACTAATCACCCCCACTGTCCCACTGTCACCAATCACCCCCCCACTGTCACTAGTCACCTCTCACTGTCACTAGTCACCTCCCTGTCACCACTCACTGTCACTAATGTCACCACCCCCTCACTGTGTCACTAGTCACCCCCCCACTGTCACTAGTCACCCCCCTCACTGTGTCACTAGTCACTCACTGTCACTAGTCACCCCCTCACTCTAGTGAGAGTGAGGGAGGGGGTGACTAGTGACAGAGTGAGGGAGGGGGTGACTAGTGACAGAGTTAGGGAGGGAAGGGGTGACTAGGGAGAGAGTGAGGGAGGTGGTGACTAGTGACAGTCACCCCCTCCCTCACTCTGTCACTAGTCACTCCTCCCCTCCCTCACTCTGTCACTAGTCACTCCCTCCCTCACTCTGTCACCAGTCATCCCCTCACTCTGTCACTAGTAACCCCTTCCTTCCCTCACTCTGCCACTAGTCACCCCTTCCCTCACTCTGTCACTTGTCACCCCCTCACTCTGTCACTAGTCACCCCCTCACTCTAGTGACAGAGTGAGGGAGGGTGTGACTAGTGACAGTGAGGAAGGGTGTGACTAGTGACAGTGAGGGAGGGTGTGACTAGTGACAGAGAGAGGGAGGGGGTGACTAGTGACAGAGGGAGGGATGGGGTGACTAGTGACAGAGAGAGGGTTGGGGTGACTAGTGACAGAGTGAGGGAGGGGGTGACTAGTGACAGAGGGAGGGATGGGGTGACTAGTGACAGAGTGAGGTAGGGGGTGATTAGTGACAGAGTGAGGTAGGGGGTGATTAGTGACAGAGTGAGTGAGGGGGTGACTAGTGACAGAGTGAAGGAGCGGGTGACACAGTAACAGAGTTAGGGAGTGACTAGTGACAGAGAGAGGAATGGGGTGACTAGTGACAGTCACCCCCTTCCTCCCTCTGTCACCAGTCACTCCCTCCCTCTGTCACCAGTCATTCCCTCCCTCTGTCACCAGTCATCCCCTCACTCTGTCACTAGTCACCTCTTCCCTCCCTCACTTTGCCACTAGTCATCTCTTCCCTCCCTCCCCCACTCTGCCACTAGTCACTCACTCTGTCACCAGTCACCCCCACTCACTGTGTCTCCCCCTCACTCTGCCACCACTCAACCCCTCCTTCCCTCACTCTGCCACCAGGTACCCCCTCACTCTGCCACCTGTCACAACCTCCCACACTCCTCCACCTGTCACCTTCTCCCTCACACACTCTGTCACCTGTCACATATGCATTCACACAGACACTATATACAAAAAAGCACATGTAGTCATCCAGACATGCACAAGTGCATTCACACAGACTCAAATACAAACATGCATTGATACACAGGTCTTCACAATATACACATCCAAAGGGTATTATGAGTTATATTTAACATTTATTTAATGCACGTATATTTGGCCTTCAAAGGGCCTGGGATCTAATTTTGCCCGGGGGCCCCAAAGGCTCTCAGTCCGCCCCTGCAGCAAATCATATAATTTATTTTCTGGACTGTCTAGGTTTACTGAATTCTGTAATTCAAACGCAGCTACAATACTTACCGCTCGGCTTCCTTTGACATCACAGATTTAGTGAGTCTTTAAAAGAGGGGACGAACCCTTTCCAAATGCATTGCGAATAACGGGCTTGAATTGCCTATGGATGTTACTGTTCCTTAAACACATATGTATAACTTTTTTGAACATTAAGTCTTTCTTTAAGCTATTGCAACAGAATTATTTTGTGCGCTCAATTTTCATCCAGTTTCAGGTAATTGTCATTCCCCCTCCCCCCCCAAATCTTGTATAAAGATTTGTAGTTGTGAATGTGTGCTCTGCAAACCTTTGATGCACACTGGGGTGCGGAATGATTAAAGTAAAACCATGCCCTGATAAACACTACTTCTGTTTAATGAGAAAACCCCTGCAGTCTGGGCTATGAGATCTCTCTGCAAGACTCAAGCATAGCTGTGCTGGGAAACACACCCCACTGAATATGGTTCTTATAGAATTGGGGCATTAGACATTGGGCAGAAGTGTGTTGTGAATGGGAAATGTTATTTGCTGGGTAAGGTTCTGAGCATCCAGCCTGGTGGTGATTTCTTGCAATCCTTTGCCTCGTTCTTTATCTGTACACACATTGCTTGATAATACACACTGACAGAAGACAAAGGCAGGCTTTAGACTGACTCTGTAATATGTTGTAGAAACACCAGCAAGAATTAAATTCTGTCAGATAGAATTACTTCAATTAATATCACTTCATAATGCTTTAACCTCTTCAGGACAGCACTGTCATTCTATAATGCTATTTGTTATGAAGAGATTTAAACATCTAGTATATTTATTTGTTTATTTTCCATCAGTGTGTAGTAGACAATGGCTACAGCAGGAAAGTGGCTTTCTACTAGCAACTAAGAACGTGAAATGCAAGGACACGTCCTTCTTTTGCAAACAAAGGAGAAAAAAAAAGTGGAAACGTTGGGATTTATGTACTGTAGTTGAGGTGCGGTCAGAAGGCCGAAAAACATGATATATTGAGCTCTGTAACAAAAGGCAAATTAGATCCAAAGCTGATCAACTAAAACTGCAAAGATGCTTTGCCAGCTACCTAAGTCATCATAGTGGTTGTAGTTCTACATGAAGATGTAGGTTTTGGTCACCCTGGCTCTAGAGTCCTATTGACCTAGCTCAGGATGTCCAGTGTCAGAGAAACCACATGGGGAAGGGCTAATGCGCGCGTGGTGCTTGCCGAGCATGCGCATTAGTTCCCTCAATTGGATGACGCCTGTCCTTCTGCGCTGCTATTGGGTAAGTGAATAAAGGGGGGAGGGGGTTGAGGAACACCTTAGTGTAAGAAATACATATTTTTATTTCTAACACATAAGTGTTACTTTAAGCTAAAGTTGTTTTCATGCCTATTGCGTATAGGGGCAGGGCAGTGAAACCCTTTACAAATCAGTTATTGATTAGCGAAGGGAAGTTTGTGTGCCATTTTTATACTCATTTATACAGAATACTGGTCTGGCTCTGTATAAGAGAATGTACTCTTAGTCAGTTGCATAATCCTGTATATAGCGCCAATATTCTACATAGCACTTTTATAAAATAAGTTGAAGTCAGATAAAGCAGTTATGGGAGTGGGAGAATTCCTTTATCTCAATAAAGGGGCTTTGGATGCAGGAGTGTCTGAATGCCATCTTACCTTTAGAGTTTGGGGTTAAACCGTTAGAAACCCTAAAGTCCCTGGCACCCCACAGCTCTACCTCCACTCTTTTTTTCCCCCCTCCAGCCGCCATGAAGGTTTGCCTGGTGGCCGGTGATGGAATGACAAGTTCACATCTAAATGGCTACTCCAACTTCCATGACCACCACTGCTTGGCAAATTTTTGCCTGGGGTATAACGTGTACCGGGCCACATGATGTTGCACCTGTCATCCGCACGCACCGTGTAATGAACTTCTATCTTTGTACATAGCGTTGGGAGCCTATATCTCCCCTTCCCAGCCTCACTGTATTTATTATCATACAGGCCTATGCAGTCTGAGGTGCTCTGTCAGTTGTGAGTGGTTATTTGAATATTTGTATTGCGTAAGTCTTCTCTCGCTTATATCTAAGGTGTTTTTGACTGTAGAACTGATCATGCTCATTGGCTGTTTTTGTTTACTGCTGCATTCAGTGCAAATTCTAGAGACGTTAGTATGTGAAAATCCTTACTGAATATGGTTGTTAAGCAGAACACCTGCTATGTGCAGCAGAATATTTTCTTTCGGCCTACGTATTGATTACAGTTTTCTATTTTTGTCCTAAAAGATATCTAATTACACTGAGGCTGTAGGCCCCTTATGCAGTGTTAGAAAGACAGCCATGTCTATGCTACACCGGAGTGGGGCACATAACCTTTCTAATACCCACTTTAGTAACTAATGGTTTACTGATTTAAAAAGAAACCAATAGGAACTCATTTTGTTATGACCATATTCTGCCCAAAAGAAAATGTAATGATCGGGGCTTGGAGTTGAGATAACATTTTTGGCAATGATGGCACTATTAAAGTTACACTCTAGGCATAATCAGGGCTGCTGTCAGAAATGTTGAGGCCTGCCCTCTAGTCTGTCCACAAGGATGGTGTGTGTAGAGTGGATGCAGTGTGTGTGAATGTATGTTGTGTAGGAAAGGGGCTGCAATCTGTGGGCTAAACTTTTTTTTTTTATTATTATTATTATTTATTCCCCCCCTCCCTGCCTCTTACCTGTGGCCAGGGAATGGGGACATACCACTCCCTGGTGGTCCGGTGGAATTGTGCAAGCTGCCAGGTTCCGAATGGTGAAGAGGGTGCCTCGCAAATGCCATCTTCAGCTTTCTGCAGTTCCTCTTGCCAGCTCTCGCGACTTCAACATGCGAGCTGCTCTGAGTATTGCTGGAGTAACCTGCGCCAACCCTCGGACCACCGGTGGTTGTGAGAGTTGGAGAGGGAAGTGTCAGAAGCTGGAGATAGCATTTATTAAGCCTACTCTTCACTATACATGCAGTCAATGGCTCAGGGGCCTGCACGGGCACATATATATATATAATGAATAACGCTCTATATATGTGCACATTGGGAATGTGGGGCCCCATATAGCTGATACGGCTGTACCCATCTGGAGGAAGACCTGACTACAATCATTTCTTCTCATTGGTTTAGGTTTCTGGAATCGCCGGAGAACTGTCTTTTCATACTCAATCCCCACTTCATTAGCCATACCAGGAATACGTGGCTGTGATAGGCAGTCAGCTGAATTTGTCAGCCAATCACCGCCACGCATTGCTGCTAAGGCTAATGCACAGAGGGCATGGGGAGCTGATAACTCATTTAGCATTAAACCATTGTAAGCGGTTTAATGTTGGTTGGAAGGAAAGTATCAGGGGACTCCAGACACTATAACTACTTCATGGAGATGAAGCAGTTACAGTACCTATAGTGTTCCTTTTATGTGCTATATTTCAAATAATATTTAAAGGAATATTCCGGTCATCAACAAAACAAAGCAACAAAGAACATGATTTCCAAAATCCAATGCTTTCACTATAAGAAAGCATTAGAGGCTACTGTGTATGCGAGGCAAAACGCTTGTCCTGCACCAATCAGCATCTCCTCATAGAGATGCATTGAGTCAATGCATCTCTACGGGGAGCATTCAGCACTGGCCATCTGAGTGACAGCCATTAGAGGTGTTTCTCCACAGCAATATAAACACTACCTTTTACACTGAAAAGCCTGCAGGTACAGGCTATAGACACCAGAAAAACTTCATGAAGCTTTAGTGGTTCTGGTGCCTATAGTGTCCCTTTAACTGTATTTAACGTGTTAACTAAATATGAAAGAGTAGCATCGCATATGTTGTACAAAAAGTATTCTATGAACTGTCCTTGTTAAATACATGCAGGGGATAATGACTTGGTGACCACTTGTGCTTTTTGTTAAGTATTAGACAGCGCAGTGGGTTGA